AGATACTTGAGTCCGTGAGGGCAGGCTCACTGGTGAGGGGCCCACATACCTCTTCTGAGGAAAGGTCAAGGACATGCCTTGCCATGGGTGCCGCCCTGACTTCAGACTTGGTAGGCTCCCTCAGCACTCAGCCTGCCCAAGCCAAGTTCAGTTTGTTAAAGCCTGGGGAGGCCACAGTCTTGTCCTTGCACTTCATTTTCTTTTTAGTTTTGGAAAGAACTGTTAGTTCTGCACTGAAGGCATATTTTATCCTGTCTGCCTGAGACCCAGTCCCCAGGATTGTGGGCTTCTAGCTATAAAGAATGAAGAAAACAACCTTAACCATTTTTTTTTTTTATGTGAGACTTTTCAGACTTTTTAAAATGCAACTGAGTGACACCCCCAGAACTCCCAGTTCCACAGCCTTAAGTCTGGTCCTAGCAAAATCTGCCTGTTCCTAGAAGCCAAGGAATCCCTTGCATGTGAGCAAGGAGAGGCCTGAATGTGGCCTTCAGAGGTGCTGTCTTTGGGTTTTCAGCAATTCTAAAATGCTTGCCCGTAGTGAAAACTTTTTATGAAACCAGAGGTTTATTCTAATAGCCACTGCAGATGACTTCCTGGGCTCATTGGAACAGCTTTTTGCCCACTGACTTCCACTGTACTCACTCATCCTATATTCTCTTGCTTCTCTCACATGAACCAGCTGCATCTGGGGAAGCAAAAGACTGTTCCTTTAATAATTATGTATTGTTGTTGCTTATTAAGAGCAGTCCTGCTTCTGTGTCATCAGCTATGCTCTTCCCTTCTGAATAGTATCTCTTTCTGGATCCTGTCCTGTCTCAGAGTCCCCATTCTCTTGTGTTTCCTGTGAGATCATTCCCTCCCTCTGCCTCATGTTAAAGTGCCCAGGAATTAGCCCTCTGGAAGGTCTCAGCATGGGGTAATTAATTTCTGTAATCTTGTGCTCCATCCTTCTTCCCCTACACATTTCTAACTCCTCGAAAACATCTTTATTATGAGGCTCTCAGAAAGCCCTGAGTAATGACTAGACTCACCATATATGTCTCATTGTGCAGGGAATGACTGAAATAAGCAGTCTTTTTCGTGCTTGGTCAGGCTTTCCAATTGTGTTCAAGTCTGTTTCCTATACCATGAACACCTCATGCATTAAAGGCTAGAAGCGTTCCCTCCCCATCTTCAGATGCCACCAGTAGCAGTCGCGCCTTGCTTTGTTTGATGCCTCTTCTTTTCTCTCTTTTCTACAGAGTCAGGGGCTGCTGTCTGTGAATTCTTTTTGAAAGCTGCCTGTGGCAAAGGTAAGAGACCCTGGCTCCCTGATGTTCTTCCTGAGGTACTTTGCACTACCCTGTCCCCTACCAGACTTGTAAGCCATCAGGTCTCTGGCTTACATTGCTTTCTGCAGACTGACAATCCCTAGATGAGGCTGGTTTGGATAGCTAGGAACATGATGGGATATTCTGCCTGAAACTGAAAACACAGGACAGAATCTGGCTCTGAATCAGCCTTCTCACCTCACTTTCCCTGTGGCCACAAGCTACCCTCTGACATGAACAGAGGCCCTTAGCACTGAGATGTTTGGGAAATTTCTCAAGGTCACAGAGTTAAGTGGTTGAGCCTAGTGTCAACCCAGGCTTTTCTGATTCTACAATCTACACAGGGTCACTGTCTTCTGTATCCTCTCATCAAAAATCCCCATGATAGTCTGTTCATACTAACCAGGCCATGACAGAGGCTGCATGAGCCAGACTATCCACTAACTCGAGGAGTATCGCTGGGTATGATTTTATATGCCATATACAAGTAAGCATTCTTCTCCTGTAGGCAAATTTATTTGGAAACTAAATTTTAATCACAAGCTTGAATAAGGAGCACAGAATTAGAGCAAGGTTGGCTTTAATGGCTAATTTGGGCAAATTTTGGTTCATTGACTACTGAAGCAATAGGCCTGCCAGGTAGATCAACCAGATTGACCTCTGGCTATCTAGTTGGAACATCATTGTTCCTGGGGTTGTTCACATGTCCTTGCTTGTTAATTCTGCCTTTATGACCTGCCACCATCTGTTAGTAAGCTGTTCTTAACATGGGCTCTATGACTGTCTCTTTGTTAACTAGTACAGTAGCCACTAGCTACATGCAGCTATTAAAATTTAAATTAATTAAAATTAAGTAAAAATGCAGTTCCTCAATCAAACTAGTCATATTTCAAGTGTTAAATAGCTACATGTGGCTAGTGGCTGCCATATTAGACGGCATAAATATAGAACATTCCTACCATTGCAAAAAATTCTCTTGGACTGGGCTGGTCTAGATCTTTCACAGTCACAACCTCATTCTGGTCAGGCCTTCCCAGTAGACCCACCAGGCCACTATTTAGAAATATAACCTTTCCATGGTGTGTCTCTGTCCCATCTGGGTGGATGATCCCTCAGGTCCTGCTGTAGAAGATAGACCTCCCCCAGTTTGCATACAGTACTTGTGTTCAATCCTATAGTTGATCTTTCTTAGTTTTAGTTCTAAGTGGGCACTTTTAACTAAAGATGGAGTCTAGGCTTTTGCTGGTGGTCCTCTTCACCTTCTATCTTTTAGGACTGTGTTTCCTAAACCCCAGTCTTTCTTTAACTACTCCTTCAGTTTTTGCCACATCAGTGTACCACTGGAACTATTCTTTAATTAAATTAATGAGCTCATGACAACATGGATAGACTTAAAGAATATTATGCTAAGTGAAGTCAGAGAAAGACAAATACCATACATGTGGAATCTAAAACACAAAATAAATGAAAAAACAAAACAGAAACAGATTCATAGATAGAGAGAACAAACAGTTGGTTGCCAGATAGGAAGGGTTTGGGGGGCTGGGTGAACAAGGTAAAGGGATTAAGAAATACAAATTTATAGTGACAAAATAGTCACAGGCTGTGAAATACAACATAGAGAAATGGTCAATAATTTTAATAACTATGTAGAATGCCAATTGAGTACTAGAATAATCGGGGAATCACTTCGTAAATTTTATAAATATCTAACTGCTATGCTGTACACCTGAAACTAATGTAAAATAATATTGAATGTCAACTCTTATTGAAATATATTAAAAAATAAAAAATTATTTTAAAAAAAGAAACCTACACACCCACACACACATTGCCCTTAGGCTTGTTAAGCCCCTATCTTACTGTGAAGTCATGCTTTGATGTTTTAGTTAGATTTTATCAAAACACTTAAAATACATAACTATTTTTACTTAAAATGTGTTCTGCCTAAAATCACATTGCCTTCTGCCCAGGGCAACCGTCACCTTCTAGGACATGCTTCAGGGAGGTGTGGAGTGAAGGTACCTTGGTTCCCATAGGCCCAGTGTCCCTGGGCTCAGGGCTGCATCTCTCCTCACACCCCCATGTCTTCCTTGGCAGGGGGCATGTGCCCATTTCGCCACATCAGCGGCGAGAAGACAGTGGTGTGCAAACACTGGCTGCGGGGGCTGTGCAAGAAGGGGGACCAGTGTGAGTTTCTGCACGAGTATGACATGACCAAGATGCCTGAGTGCTACTTCTATTCAAAATTCGGTAAGGTGGTTCAGATTGGTAAGGTGTGTGGCCAGGCCCCTGCCACCATCCACACCCCCACCCCCAGCATCAGTAGCCCTGGGGAGGCTCCACTGAGGACCGAGACCCAGAGGTGTTAAGCAAATGCTCAGGTACCCACAGTATCTGCCGCTCCCATCTTCCTAGATTCAGATGAGAACCTTAGGCATTTCCCTGAAACCTCAGCTGGCCCCTTAGTTATGGGAAGTATGATTATTCTCTAATAATCTCCACATCTTTGTAGTGCTTCAGTTTTATGAGCACTTTCAGATACTTTGTGAAGTTGAGACTAAGGAGGGTCTCCCAGTGGGTGAGTGAACAGTGCATTTGGCTGGAGGCCTTGTTTCTGCTGGAGTCAACCTCCCTTAAGTCAGCTTTTTCTTTCAGTGTGGTGACTGATTGCCGCCCCCAGGCCCAAGTTAGTTCTTTCTCTGTAGGAGTATGATTCCAAATAGTAGTTTGTCCTAAATAAGAATAGGAGGTCTGGGGGGGGCTGTCCTCTGGTGGCAAAGAGTTCTGCTCTTTATCTTGAAACTGAGATTGCCTTGATCCCTGCTTAGAGAACACATGGCCTTAGCTGTCTTGAGTGAACTGCATCGAGAAGTGGGGACTGGCTGAGGGTAATGGGGTTGGCATAGGGCTTGGCTGAGCTGCTGTGCTCCCTGATGGAACTAGAACCCGCTGGCTCTCTACTCTGGGCAAGGTTGCCCAGGAATAAGCCCTATTGGTTAGGCTAAGGGCAGGCTCTGGCCCCAGGCCCTGTGCAGGAGCCTGGTGAGAGTTTGGAAGCCTGACATATTCTTCAGTGGGCCGAGGAGTGCTGTACACTGCTGCACACTTTCAAAGCACTGTTGTCAGAGGAGATGTTAATTATTTTAGCAGCCCAACAGGATTAGCCTGCTGGCTTATTAATGATAGTTGTGGCTTTTTTTTTTTTTTATAGAGGCAGCACAAGCTGAGAAGTCAGAGCTTAGACAGAAATAGGACTCAGGCTTCCCAGCTCCCCACTCACTCTCCACTCACTCCCTTCTGCCCATGACGGCACTGGAACCAGCACTGGAAGGAAGCAGCAGCTTCTCCATGGGAGCTTTCTCCCATCTTCCCCAAAGATGGGAGTCAGCCCTCATGGGCAGACTCTCAAGGGCACCTCTGCAGGCTGGCTTGGGTTCCTGCCTTCCCCTGCAGAGCCTTTCCTGGTGCAGACACAGTCTGCAGCCCCTGTCACCTATGCTACCCCTTTTAGGCACTGTACTCCTTTTATTTTTATTTTATTTTTTTAGGCGAGGCAACCCTTGGTTGACCTCACAGATTGCAAGGACCTTGTCAGCTTACAATCCCTTTTTTTTTTTTATTTTTTACACCTACAGCACCTGGTCTTCCTAGGTGGTCTCCCATCCAAGTACTAACCAGGCCCAACCCTGCTTAGCTTCTGAAATCTGATGGGATTGGGCTTGTTCAGGGTAGCATGGCCATAGACACTGTGTGCCTTTTAGGCACTGAAGAGACAGTGATGAAGAGGACAGACCCAGTCCCAGCACCATGGTGCTTTTGCTTTAGTGGCCCAGGAAAAGAGGTGCCTGATTTGCTGGTGAGACAAAGAGAATTATTCATGATAAATGCTCTGAAGGAAATAAACAGTGATGGAACCACATGAGGAAATCACTTTTAGGCAGAATGATTGGGAAGGCCTCTCGGAGGAGATGAGACTTGAGCTGGGATCTGAAGGCTAAGCAGAGGCCAGTCCTGGAACACTTGGTGGGCCAGTGTGGTTGCAGGGGAGGAGGAGACTAGGGAGGGGTGGGCTAGACCATGTATGGACTTAGGGTCTGAGAAGGAGTTTGCATTTTCTCAGACTGGCCTTTCATGTGTAGTGCGAATTGGAAAGGCAAGCATGGAGTTGGCCAAACCCTAGTTGGATGAAAGATGCTGCTGGCCAGCTGAGCCACTTGTTCCCTAGAGGAGCTGTCATAAAGGCTTTATTGTGTTCTAGCACAAGGACCCAGCCTTGAGTTCCCAAATCTTCCCTACTTTTATCCTAAAAGGTAGACTCCTCAGACCTTTCTCTTTTCCTAGCTAGCGGATGTGAAGAGCTGATTAGAGTAGAAATTTCCTGGCCTCAGCTAGTATGTTTGCATATCTGAGCACATAATGGTGCCCAGAACACCCCCTTCAGGTGAGAGATGGAGCCATGAGGTATTTGATCAGTATATACCCTGTGCCCGGCTCTGTCAGTGTTATTGACCCTCACGACAGCATGGACACATACGAGGGAAGGACCTTCACAGCACATATACAGGTCAGGAAACTGAGGCTCTCATATAGTCTGCCATGAGTCTCAGGGTTTGCCAGGCCAGGACCGGATACCAGAACCACCTGGCCCTTTTTGCTACACAGCGGGCTCAGGCCTTGGGAGAAGCCAAGGTGGGTCTGGGTCTTGGCAGAAGCAGAGCTGTCCCAGGTGGACACATGTCTGGGTTTCCCTGCAGGGGAGTGCAGTAACAAAGAGTGTCCCTTCCTGCACATCGACCCCGAATCCAAGATCAAGGACTGCCCTTGGTACGACCGTGGTTTCTGCAAGCATGGTAGGTGTTGTAGTGGCCGGGCCCCCTGGCAAGAGCCCAGTCCTCCCTTCCTCTGTCCACATTACCCTCTTCCTGTCCTGCCTATTCCAGCAAAATCTGATGTTAGGCATTTGGGGGCTAGCAAGCCTTTTTCATGCCCTCAGCTCACTTGAGCCTCCTAAGGCTCCTATGTGAGCTGCATTCTCACCTGCATTTTTGATAAAGAAGCTAGTATTTGAGAGGTTGTGTGTCCTACCCACTGTCCCCTATGAATAAGAGTCAAAGTCAGTATTTGAAGCCCTGCTCTTGCTCTTGGCACTCCAGATAGTGGTCATGGCAGGGTCTGACTGGCAGAGGGGCACAGGGGCAGCCCTGAAGAGGGGATGGTCTCGGTAACCTGACACTTGGCTCCACAGGTCCCCTGTGTAGGCATCGGCACACGCGGAGAGTCATCTGTGTGAATTACCTTGTGGGATTCTGCCCAGAGGGACCCTCGTGTAAATTCATGCAGTGAGTTGCCAGCCCCTATCCCCTCAACTCCCACACTCCTCCTGCCCCAGGCCCTGCTATCCTCTACATCTTTTCTGGGTCCAGTTGAGCTTTGGTCACCGGTGATGTCAGCATAGTTCCTGGGATGAGGGGGTGAAGGGGCTGAGGGGAAAGGGACCCCTGCTTTTTCCTGAGCCCAGAGATGGCTCTGCCTAGACCTTTATTGGGTCACAGCCATCTGGGAATCTGATGAAAGCTGTGGGCCCTGTGCTCCAGAAAAACTCATGCACACATAGCCTTGCATATCATTTAGGGCCTTCAGGTTAAGAACTGCAGTTTCAGGGCCTCCTATGTGGAAGTACTAAACTTGGGGTTTCCCACATACTAGTTCTTATAACTCAAGTGTTAAAGAGAATGTCCTGTTCTACCCATGAGAATACAGAAGCTCAGAGCTCAGCCACTGGCCAGAGTCCCACGGTGGTCGGTGGCGGTACCTACTCAAAGGCAGGTCTATGAGCCTCTGAAGCCAGGTTCTTGCCCAGCAGGGCTCAGCACTCCTCTCCTGGGCATCAGAGCACATCTGTCACTTTGGATGATCGAGGGGATAGAGTGGTACTGGGACCAGAGAGTAGTCTCCCTGTCTTGTACTGCCCATACACCTGCACTGCCTACACCTGTACAGGAGCATAGTGTCTTGCTGCCACACAGTGGGCAGGTGGCCAGTGCTGTTGACCTGGTCCCACTCCCTAGATGAGAGCCCAGGAGCACACAGATCGCCCAGGAGTTCCTGTTTGTGGGGCAATCAGGCATGTCCCCTGAGGAGTCTGTGTTATCAGAAGAGGTCTGGCACTCGAGTTAGGCCCTGCAAGGAGGAGTGTGTGTTAGAAGTGGCTCCCATGCACAGAGCCGCTCATGGAGCAAGCTCGTGACTTCTAACAGTACCAGCACTTTATCTTCATTATTTCACGTGGGATGTATGATTTTCTGTATCTTTCATTTCTAACCTGAAAGCTGCTTGATGAGAGGATCAGGGAAGCAATATGAAAGAACTTAACTGTACACTGTGGCAAAACAGTTATTTTTATGGATTTTACAGTTCAGCTAACAGTGTTACCTTTTCAAGATTTATATATATTCTTAAGAAAAACCACTGAGCCATTAAAGCTTTATTATAAATTCAGTCCTAATAGTGATTTAGTTTTTTATAGATTACTTTTAAAGTAGATGGTAAATTATTTAACATTATATTAAACTTTCCATCTCATGAATTGAAACTGAAGGAAATCATACAATTTCTGAGGAAATGTATTGATTTAAACTAATTCTGAAATTGTATTTTAAAGTATGACCTCATAGTCTTAATTTATCCATAGCAAACATTGTCTGTGTATGGTTGCCAATGTTTGGGTTGTAATTTAAATATTAAAATTTCTAAGTTAAAAACATTTTTCTTTCATTTCTCTGAGCAGCACTCCCCTCCACCCCCGAAGTCTCAGCCAGGTGTAGGCAGAGCTGGGTCTGAGCCCAGGCATTCTGTTCCCCCACTGTCCTGTAGCCTGAGAGGCAGAGCTAAGAGCCAACACCTACCCACGTCCAGGTGGTTCATGCTGCTCTGTACTTGGGCAGAGACTGGCTGTGATTTTCCCTGGGGCCAGAATTCGAGAACACTGCCTGGCCTAGCTCCTCTTTCATCTCTTCTCTTTCTCTTGTTCTCATCCCTTCTGGCTGCTGGATGACCAGCCCTCGATTTGAACTGCCGATGGGAACCACCGAGCAGCCCCCACTACCACAGCAGACACAGCCTCCAACAAAGGTACCGTGTCCCGGCCTCTCCTCGGCTTTGTGGCACTGCTGGCCCTGGCAGTGCCCTTGCAGCAGAGAACTCAGTGCTTGCATCAATGTGTGGTCTGCCATAGACCTAGCTAGAGACTTTGTGAGAGGGCTTAGGAGAAGGCAGGATAGGAGGGGAGTCAGTCACACTGAGTAGCAGAAAATTCAGGAAGCAAAGCAGTTGCATCTTCCTTTAGAGTTGGAGCGTTGTCTGCTGGAGCCGAATGCCCACTTGGCTTCTCTTCCCTTGCCTGGAGAGTGCCTTGGCACCTCTGCAGTGCCTGCCTCAGGAGCCAGAGCGGAAGGCAGCATGGGTACCACACGTCTCCTGCTCTTGATGCTTCTGGTTCAGACCCTTCCCCTTACAAACAGGGAAACTGACACTTGTAGAGGGAGTCTTCCCTGAGATACCACAGCTGGGACAGACAGGTCTGGGAGCAGAACCAAGGCTGGCTGGTTCCCTGGCCAGTGCCATGATCGCTCTGTGTGGATATTGCCGACTATAGGGAAGGCTAGGAACAGGGCTAAAGGACCATGGCTTCAGTTTTCTAGACAAGGAGTCCTTCAACCCAGCAGTTAGCTGATTCTCCTTCAAGGAGGAGAAGGAAGTGCCATAGACAAATGGGTTCAGCA